AGCTTATGTGCGATTTGTGTGTGTGCGCGCACGTGTATAAACAAGGCACTTTGCGTCCAGCTTTCATCACTATTTCCCATTACGTTTCCAGGCTCGTTGTGCGTTCTGGAGCAGGCGGCAATGTTTCCACATAATTGCCCCACGTATGATTACAGTTAGCACCGCAGCGAGTGGACGGTGGTATTACAGTGCAGGAGATGCATCCCACCACGGACATCTAGTTATTACATCTAGGTCTGCTTGTGCCGAACAAGAGGCACTTAGTTCTAATGCGCCGCCATTTTCGTCATTCTTGTGCAAATTTATGCAGCAAAGTGCAGCAAAACCTCCTGATATCACGTACTCTTGCTGGAACCTGGGATTCTGCTATGAGTCACCTGAAGAAATACTGTTAGGTTTTAAGAAAAAGATGTTGTATCATATAAAGAGTGATGCTGCTGACACATAAAAACATTATGTGACAGGTGGGTTTTTTTTCGTCTGAGGGCTCTTCAGAAGGGTACAAAAGGTACCAGCTCATCATTCAGACAATAAGTCCCACATATGAGGGGGTTTTTGGGACCCAACTTTGACCCTGAGGGTTACTGACTCGGGCTAACTAACCAAGCCACAGACCCACCAGACACAGTCCAAATTCAGTCTGAGTAAAGGTCAATGAAGGATATTTGCACTGGTCTGTACTGGTCAAACCTATGGCGGTACTATGGCGGTACTACAGCGGCCCTCAAGTTTAAACCACAACTACAAATTAAAAGCGCAATTGCATTTGAATAAACACAATTGCATTAAGTGAAACCGGAAGAGGTTGGAAAGGTGGGAGGGTCAAACGCCCCGTCATCCAGTCAGCAACGTCTCATGGTTCCTACTGGTCCCACCTCCCACTTTTCCCATGTCTTTTGGTTTTGCCTAATGTAATTGTGTTTCTTCAAATGTTGTGTTTTTACATGTGTAGTTGTGGTTTAAACTTCAGAGCCATCATACAAACCAGGTACTCAAGTGATACAATGTTGAGGGATTTGAACGGTGAGTGGTTTTTATTTTCCTGGACTGGACTTGAACATGGAATGCAAGTAAACCTTAATGTTTTTAGTGCAAAATATTTAGTGGGTAGAAGTTGCACTTTGTAGATAAACAGAGGTAGTGCTTTGTTTTGCTTGACCGAGGCAGTAAAAAGAGCAATTCTATCCAACACCAGGTACAACGGCGGAGTCGGATGGTGGCCTTGGCCCTCGTAGGATAATCTTCAGCAACCCCAATCATTTGGGGGGGGAAAACAAACAAACTACACTTTAAAGCTATATAAAAGCTAGAAAGCAATCTACTGTTTGGGACAGCCGGTTTACCATCTTGGATTTTGACATGGCATCCTAATTTTTGATAGTGACCATTTTACACTTTACAGCCAGCCGCACATTGCAACGGAGGTCAGCATGATGCTTATTTTTCCTGTTATCCAACTCACAAAGTTTACATATACACAAACATGGCAGCAGCCATCATGCATTTTGACAAGGCAACCCAATTTTGGTAGATGTTGCCACACACCCAGTGGTGGGCATGGTTCCACCAATCGGCTAATAGCAGAACTAACTCAAACATTTTTGCCAACTTTGAAAACCTTTTGCAGAATTAGCTTTCGCTAAATTTAAATCTGGTCAATTCAATGTCTGCCATAAAGACTGTTCTCTGCAGTCAGCACAGATATCTTGAACCCATTCCTATCCCTTGTACCCTTGGAAATTGGGGACTGCCTAGAAAGGCAGCCACCTACTATCCACCTGAAAAGGGTCTCGCTCTTCTATAGACTTTAATGCGGGCGAAGAGCAACATGTACCCCCACAAATTTTAGATTGAAACAACTGGCTCGGCACCTTGATGTGCGCCATTACTTTTAATGGCATTTTGAGTTACCACGGCGACGTAATTTGCGGAGACGTCATTTTTCTCATTGAAAAACACTGACAGAACTCAGCTTCTGCCACCGTGAGGCCACATTACCTAGAGGGAAGAGGTCTCTAAACAAAACACCGATTACTTTTCGGAGACATTTTGGTTCAAGATGGCTGCCACAGCTAACTCAGAAAACTCAAAATTGACTATAACTCAGTCATTCTTTGAGATGTTGAGCTGAAATTTGGTATGGTCGTGGCCGAGACCGAGTTGTTACACATTCCTAATGCAAATAAAAAATATAAGATGGCCACCTTAGCTAAACGGGGAAAAATATAAGGAGCTATTTTAAAAGTTATTGAGCTGAAATTTGGTGTGGTGGTACCTGATAGCGATGCACACACATTTTGAGTTCAACTCTAAAAATCTAAGATGGCCGTCAAAACTAATTTCAAATGGATCAAACTTGGGAGGTTTTTATAGCTATGCAGCTGATATTTGGTGTATTGGTAGCTGAGAACAATCCCTAATAGATTCTGTTAGCAAATCAAAAGTCCAAGCTTGCCACCATAAGTTAAATAAAAAAATGACCAACTCATTGATTTGTTGCCATATTGAGTTGAAATTTGATATGATGGTAGCTCAGCGTGAACCCCAACACTTAAATCCAAAAAAAGTTAAAAGCAAAACAACTGGATTTTTGTAACTCCGAGGAGCTTTCTCAGTTCAATAAAACAACGAGTGTGGGATTCAAGTTATAAAGCTGTGGTGTTCTGTAAGCGTGCATAATGCAGATTGACACATGCAGATTGACCTCTCGCTCTTTTTGAGAAAGCTCCTCGGATGAGAAGCGAAACGTCTTCGGTTACAAATAAAGTCAAGTTGTTTTGTTTTTAACTTTTTTTTTGGTTTTACCATGTCCTGGATGATTGAAAATCTTCACCAGCGTACCCCAACAATACTGTCAAATCAAAATTTTTAAATGGCCGCAATGTGGCAGTCCCATCAAAATGTATCCAGGAACTTTCTACTTTGACATATAGCCTACTGTATGTATGAATTCTGAGTGGTTTGGATGGGGCCCAAGTTTAAACATGTCCAGTATTCAGCCCAACGCGGTGAACTTTTTTAAAACCCGAACGATTTCTTCTACATCCCCTCCCATTTTTGAGGATTCTACTGGTTCTCATGAAATGATTGACACCTCTCTTTCCAAATGTTCCACACTTCTATGTCGCTTCTTTTCATTCATTATATTTAAAAAATGCCAGGGTGCTGTTGATTGGATTGTTTTATCCACAAAGTCAGTGTATTTAATCTGAACAGTTATGCTCTTTGCTAACATTTTTTATTTTACGTAAAATCTTCTCTAAATTGAGCAGCAGCAGATAAATGGGTTTCTCTGCTGCTTCTTTCAACAATGTGCTTGTTTTGGAAATGAATAGGTTTTTTTTTGTTGTTGAATGAAAGTGCCATGTCTCAGACTGTCAATAAACCTAAGCTACAAATGTTCTTGCAACAAAGCATTCGTTATTATTAAAGAAAGTGGGGGAAAAGAAAAGTTAATTTGTTTTCTCTGCAGGAAGAAAGAGGAAATTAGGAGTTGTGAAGAAAAGCACGAGTGGAAAAGACCTTAAAGCCACCGTTGTGTGATTAAGAACCAAGTTTGGGCCATCGGTGGGGGGTGGGTGTGTGGGGTATATTATTCACACAGCAGGAAATTAACCAAATGGTGTTTAAAATATGTCCATCCACATGAATATACAGTAGCGCTGTAGAGTACAGATAACACGTAGCGAGAGAAGAAGTCTTTTTGCAGCTGCAGGTAGCCGGTGTGTTAATTAGCGGAGAAGCGGTGCACTGCTGAGAAGCAGCGGGGTCGACATCCTCGCACCGTTGTGTACGTGAAAATTACTCCCCGGAAAACTCACACATTTCAACTTTTTTTTATTTTCCGATTCAGTTACAACCTCCGTTTAGATTCTGTACAGCACTGAAGGCACACAAACCCCAAAGATATAGAATAGTTTATATACAAAATATACAGAATAAATATTTCGATCTATTTAAAGTAGAAAAGCTACAGAGTGTGTGCTTATGTGGACTGTTTGGAGCCTTCCCCAGGAACGATAAACGAACATCCACATCGCTCGTGTCCATTTTCAGCCGTCTTAACGCTTTTAATTTGAAAAGCACGTTTATGTTCAGGTTGAAATTGTTTGGATGGCTGTTCACTGTTAAAACGTGCCCAAGGCCACGTTCCCGACTTCTATTCCATGCCTTTGACATTAAATAATGGCATCGCACACACAAATTAAACGTCCGTACCCTTCACTGGCTCGTTTCTTCCAACAGAAACAACAACAAAAAGAAGAAGAAAACATTTCAGCAGGACTCTGTTGATTGTCATGCACCATCTTATGGCATTCGAGTAGTGCAATGCATTTTTACAAGACGCGTATATACTGCACTCCAAGCGCTCCACTTTCTAAAAGAAAAGGGGAAAAAAATAAAACTCTTATGAGAATGGAACCGAGCTTGTATAAAAATAAAAATTCCTCCAACTGCAGCTCTGCAGCGTGTTGGATCAATCATCTGTCGGGAGGACAGCCGTAGAACTGCGCTCCTATCGCTGTTTTTTTCTTCAACGTACACTTGGCTGTACAACTTGCTGACTCTACGGCACAATGAGCATTCTGGTTCGAGCGTTAAAAGCCGGGAAAGGGGTGGGGTGGGGGATGTAATCGGGTCATGGCCACAATCAGGATCGACTGATTAAGCACAATTCTGGGTCAAGCACTGATTGAAATTCACTCAATTCTTTCCAAACATCTGCTTTATCCTGCGAGGAGGAACGGGAAGGGGGGGGGGGGGGGGGAATGTGCTATGTGGATCAATTCACTTGGCCGCTGCAACGCCATGAAAATTTAATCACATGTAAAAAAAAAAAAAGCTGATTGAGTGGATTTCACAGTGGGTCTCAACCCCTACACGCCCGCTCGACAAACAGCAACAGCTTCGTCCGAGTTACATTTGGCTGAAAATCCGACAGCAGCTACATAACGTGGCTGTCGAAAGACGACGAGTAACAAACTAGTTACATTCTGTGCTACGATTTTAAAAAATGTGCCCGGTATGCATTTATTTTTTATATATTTCAACATTTCACACTGTGGAAAGTACAAGAGGGCAAACAGGGTAAGGCACTTGGTTTGAACATGATAAAAGTCTTTACTACTTCAGTTAAATGCAGTTTGATGTTCCAGCACCTCCAAGTAGTCCGGCTCGGTGTGGAGGTTAGCTTTAAGCTCAAAGTACTCGTTCTTAGTTTGCTCAAGCATGACCTTGCGCGGTCGCGTGTACATTATTGTCTCCATTAGCTTCAGCTCCTTCGGGTGCCCGGGGACCTGCATGTCGACGGCGGGCTGGAGCTGGGGCATGTTTTTTCTGAAGTACTCCGTTATTCCGAGCTGCTGTTGCAGCTCCTTCTCCCTCTCCAGAATGTTCCGGTACAAGGAGCTGGGCGTCCCGAGAGTGACGAACTCCGCGGGACACTCTTCGGGTATGGTTCTGAACTTTGAGCTGGGGTTCCCGGTTAGAGGCGACGTGTTTTCCTTCTCCGTGAGGCTCCGGAAGAGGTGGTGATTGGCGCTGGGATCTTCCAGGCTGTAATCCAGGTTTGAGTCGTGGCCCTTGTGCTGGGAGCAGTAGGTGGGGTTGCGGCAGATCTGCACGATGGGGCTGTGGGATCTGTCGTCGTACAAAGTGGCGGGCCCGGTTCTTTGCGTCACAGTGTGGTGTGTGGTTTTCTGCCCGTACATGCTGTAGTGTAAGTGAATGGGAGAACTGCTGGTGTTTTCTCGAGGCGCCTCCTCTGCTGCTTTTTTCTTCGCCCTCCGCCGCCGCCGATGCACCATGAACACCACCAATCCGGCCGAGCAAAATATAATCATGAGGACGAAAATGAGAAGGCTTAATATGAGCACGGAGAGCGGGATGGTGTCGGTGAGCGAGATGAAAATGCTCTTGTTGCTGGGCTCTAATGTGGCTGTTACGCTCTCTTCCCCGCCTTGAGGCACTGGGTGGTAGGTCCCTAAACCGGGACAAAGCGTCTCATGATGCAGGCTTCTCAGCTCGAGCTGCATCACTTTCTTTGGAGTGTGACACAGAACGGAGCCCACCACCGTGTCCTTCCTCAGCTTCTCCAGCCATTGTTTGAGGCTGAGCAAGTCACAGCTGCAGTCCCAGGGGTTCTCCTCTAAATAGATCTGCTCCAGCGAGTCGAGCTGATCGAGCACGTTGCTCACTGGCAGGTGCATGAGCAAGTTTTTTCTCAGGTTTAATTTGGTGAGGGGCACGTTGCGGAATATCTGAGCTGGAAGAGAGCTCAGCAGGTTGTTATTTATTGACAGCAGCTTGAGGTTTGGCAGGGGATTGAACGTGCCCGGGGCGATCTCTTTGATGACATTATACTCCAGATACAGAAATTCAAGGTTGTGGAGTCCCACGAACATCGTGGAGAACAGCTTTTCTATCCGGTTGCCATTCAAGTACAGTCTCTTTAAACTGCTCAGGCTGAGGAAAGTTTCATTGTCGATGTAATCGATTCTGTTGTTCGCCAAGTTGAGCAGTTCCAAACCGTCATATGTGACAAAATCGTATTTAAGGAGTTTCTGAATCATATTTCCTGTCATGACTAGTTTGGTGGGGCTTTCTTGAAGTATTCCAATATCAGATACCTTTTGAATTCCTCGGTCCTGACAGTGCATTAGAAACTTGGCCACGGGGTGATTGTGACAAGAGCAGTGCTCCACACAGGGACTGCCAGAGTTGTAAGATGGAGTCGGCACCCTGGCGTCATTTTCCACATTGATCAGCTTGGGAATTTGAGTAACAACCATATCCAGTGACTTTGACGGTTCCTCCAAGTTAATGTCGGCGTGGGACGGGCACAGAACATCCCGCTTCACTTTAGCCAGAGTGGTCCCCTTAAGGTGCGTCGGCGAGCTGCATACCACGTCTCCGATGACGGACTGCGCCCTCATGTTCTCCATCCAGATCTTCAAATGTAAAATGTCACAGTCACAAACCCAGTCATTGTCCTCCAGGAGCAGCTCCATTATCCGCCCTATGTGCTCCAAAAACCCCACGTAAGGCAGCGTCTGGAGCTTGTTGCCCCTCAGGTCCAGGTGCGTGAGGGGCACAAAGCGGAAAATGTTGTTGGGTAAAAACTCAATGGAATTGTCGTTGAGAATCAGGACTTTGAGTCGGATCAGTTTGTTGAAGGCCCCCGGTTCGATGACCCGAATGAAATTCGTGTCAGCCTGGAGAAACTCTAAATTCACCAAGCCTTGAAAAGTGTCCTCTTTCAGCGTGACAAGAAAATTGCTATTTATGTGGAGCTTTTTCAGTGAACCAAGAGCGCTAAAGACCCCTGGCTCCAGCTCTTGTATGCTATTACCTCCAATGTGCAGAGAAAGGGCATTCTTAAGCCCCTCCATTTCTTCGACACGGAGCTCGACCAAGTCATTTTTGTAAAGGTTCAGATGGAAGGGGACACCTGACGGGACTGTGATTTGGGAGATTTTGCTGATGTTCCTCTGCTCGCAGTTCAGATGAAGGATGCCATCTTTCGCCTCACAGGAGCACAAGGAGTCACAAGACTCGCTGATCGAGGATGATGGCTTTAAGGGATGGATATCTTGGGATCGAGCTGCAGTGAGAAACAAGCTGATGAAAATGATACTGGGCTGCATGTCGGTCTTGGATATCTGTGAAGACAGAAGCGGGGCCAGAGGGAGCAGAGGAGAAAGAGGGAGAGGAGAAAAAAAGAATATTGAGTTTTTTTTCTGAGCACATGAATTAAGTAAATCTTTTTAAACAATCACTCTCGTTCAAAATGACCACTAACTGACATTCAGCCACATCAATCCAAGGGTCCCTGTGCTAAAAATACTTTAAATTTGCAAGTATAAAGGTGATGTAATGTAAAAGTACTTTTATGAGAGAAGCATGAAGATAATACAAGTCTACTGTGGATGAAGACGCTTTTGCATGTGTGTGTGTGTATGTATGTATCTCTGTCTGTCTGTATCGATATATATATAGTAGTCTCTCACTTATCGGGTCTCTCTTGTAAATGAGTTCCTGAGGCTCAAAGGGATTAAGCTGTATAAATAAAGGTTGAATGAATATATGAATCAATGTCTAGCAGGCCTTGAAGGAACGCATATCATATCAGTCTTTCATGCCAGAAAATTCAAAGATCATCTTGGGTTGAGAAATTATGGATGTATTGCTGTTTAGGTCAAACCTCAAAAATTGTGTTATGAGCAACCTTGTGCAATATTGCAAGATGTCACGAGTACGTGTTGTGACTCACTTTCAGTTACGCCGTCTAATTTTAGCTCAATATTTGTAAAACTGAATGGGTTATAGTTATTGCTATGGTGGCTAATATCACTAAGCTTTGATGGCCATCTTAAACAGAATGCATCCAGAAGTTAATCGGTTGTAGATGTACATCCAGTGAATACTGTCTGAAATATCCTGATGCATGCTCAATAATCCAGGTAGAAAAATCCAAAAAAGTTCAATCTGGTCCTCTGTCCAGAGGACCAGATTGAACTTTTTTGGGATACTGTCTGAAAGTTTTCCTGAAGTCCATTCAGGGTTTATAAAAAGACAGGTGTACACAAACAGACACCAGCACAATGCGCAACATTTCCCACGTTTCAGCACCTTGTGATAATAAAAGTACCATCTACACATTATATATCCTGTAAAAACGGACCTTACCTTATAAATTTTCTTTGCAACAACATTAACTTAACGTGTTGGGTAAGGTACATTCTCGTTGTGTGAAGAAATGGGAGTAAGAATGTCTTTCCACTGACTCACCATGGGAATAGCTCTACATTTCGAAAAATGTCTTGCATTTGACTGATTTCACTGCCCTTTTCTATGTGCTGACTCATTGGACTTAAGACCTTCTCAGTGTGAGTCACACAATGTAAAAGTCACTCTGGTCGATGTCAAAGCAACATTTAAGACAAGCATTGTGAATGACTGATGAGGGCTCTTCGGAGTTAACCTGCAAATCCAAAGCAACGCAGAACCAATCAATCCAAAGGAACACACAGGCAGTTCCTTCCACTGAAAACAAGCTCCTAAGAAGAGAATCCCAACACTTTGTGTGAGCAGAGTTTCTACCGAATGACACGGGGAATAATGAGAAGTGATTTTAATGATAAGCAACGTCGGCATCACTTCTATATCCAATAAACCAAGTTGACAAACATAAAGTTGGATCAAAGGCTAAGACTGGGGACTTGTAAAGAAGTATAGACATTTTCCTGAGATCAAAGATGAACTGGATATAACCTGGTAACTAACAGAGTTCTTCACAGGGATGACATGGAGAAAGATGGCAGTGCTTTGTAGTTTTGAATTTGCTTAGCTTTTGAAAAGATTCATTATGATCTGACGCCAAAACCTGAAGGCAGAAAATCAGTTGTTGTCCCTGTGCATCTTACCTACTACTACTACTACCACCACCACTACCACCACCACCACCACCACTACCACTACCACCACCACCACCACCACTACTACCACCACTACCACCACCACGACCACTACCACCACCACTACTACCACCACCACTACTACTACCACCACCACTACCACTACCACCACCACCACCACTACCACCACTCCTACATCTACATGCTACTGGATGTGTCAAATGTACCCCTGAGGATTAATAAAGTTAATTAGTTAATTAGTTCCTTAGTTAGTTATTTAGTTAGTTAGTTCCTTAGACAGTGAATTAGTTAGTTCCTTAGATAATTCCTTAGTTTGTTAGGTAGTTAATTCATTAGTTATTTAGCAATTCCTTAGTTAGTTCCTTCATTCCTTAATTAGTTAGTTCCTTAGTTCCTTTGTTAGTTAGGTGCTTACTTCCTTAGTTAGTTCCGTATTTCCTTTGTTAGTTTGTTTCTTACTTCCTTTGTTAGTTTGTTCCTTTATTCCTTAGATAGTTCCTTTCTTCCCTAGTTAGTTCCTTACTTCCTTAGTTCCTTTGTTAGTTCGTACGTTAGTTCCTTCCTTCCTTCTTTCATTAGTTCCTTCCTTCCATCCTTCCTTCCAAAATGGCTGCCACAGCCAACTAACCCAAAACCACAAAAAAGGCTATACCTCAGTTTTACCAACATTGAGCTTAAATTTTGTGTGGTAATAGCGGAGTCATTCACAGCATACTGTAGATTCTGAGCGCAACTTGTCACGATTTGCATGATTATGCACAAGGTACTGTATATTGAAGGTTTGACCAAAATGGCTAAAATTCTGTCATTTCTCAACATGTGATGAACTTTGTCAAACATTATGGTATGAAATGTGGCGAGCGATACGCCTTTCTTCCTCCTGGGCCTTTAGTTTTAGTAGGACTGACTGGGTGAGCACAGTTTGTCAGAGACATATTCTTGTGACTCATGAGGAGTTTGACACCTTTTGAATAAAGTTTGAGGCGAAAAAAGGTTCCTCCCAGCTGAAACCCAACGAGGCGTGGGTGTGTTTGTACTTGTCTGTGAGCTTGGACGATATATGGGAAATGCTATGAGTTGGATTCTGGACTACAGAATAAACGTAGATCCATTATTTTAGATTTCTCTGTCACAAATTAAGGCTAAATTCAAAGTATTTTGTTCTCTTTCACAGACTTCTTCTGTCTCAAACCTAACTGTAGTCTTGTGTTAGGTGAAAATTATGGATCAAAACCAAGTCCTCAATATTCAAACACAGACTGCAAGGTCACACTAAGAATTCCAACCATGAACGCTCTTGTCTCCAAAGACTTAAGTAGCAGTAAGTTTTGGCCGTTATAGATAATTATAGATATTACAAAACCTATCCCAGATAAAATCTCTTTAACGCAAAGCTCTTACCAAACTAAAATGAATAAATCAGTATAAATGTTATTGATTACACACCCTGCAGTGCATGATTTACGGCATTCCATCTAATTGAATGTACTAATAATCTCTCCAGACCTTCCCTCTGCCCCCGTTCCACAGGGAGTCCGCCACAACTTCAGACGAAATACACCAGAGTAATTAGCTCAACGTTCTTGCCTCCAGGGATGGTTTTATGCTCCGAGTTGCCCCCAAATGAAATACGAGTAATACACCAACAGAGAAAAAACTGGGGAAAAAAAATCCCACAGAAACAAACTCATTAGTGAATATTTACAAAATCAGCATTAGTTCAAACGAAGTAGGAAAGCCGAAGGTATTTGCTGTAACCTTTATCTGCTGTTGTAATACAGCAAGTAGAATTGGATGTATTCGATCAGTGGTCTTGAATTAACATTCACTGAGATACGTGGAAAGAGAAAATTCTCAAGCATGGGTCTTAAAAATTTAGTCAAATAGTTAATATTGATAAAAAATGATCCATCCATTCAGGGTTGAAGTGGACCCAATGTAAAATTGATGATGTATGAAATAAATTACAGTGCTAGAAAATTTTCTACTTTTACTAAAATAAAATCAGCAGAAGTGGAATAAAGAGCTTTTGAAAGAGGCAATGATTCCTCAAAACATTTGATTAATTCACATGTATAAAAAAGTAAAGCTTGGGTACTTATACACATTTTAATACTCTCCGAGTTGTTTATGATTTTTATCTTGATTCAGATCCAATACAAGTATCTGTGGACAGTAGATTTATAGATATATTATTTTCCCCAGGTATTTGTGGGTAGTTCGTAAGTTTTACACTGCAGATTTTAGTAACAGTTACTATCACTAAACGTATGAGACATAGATTTAACAGAGAAAGTTATTCTTTATTATTTGAATGCCCACAATATATGTAAAAAGTCTTCAGTTTATCCCAAGTGAGATGTTGAGAGTGAAATCTGATGAAAGTTAGGAGAGCTCTCAACAACTAAGCTCCATCTTTTGATAAAGGTTTGATTGCACCAGATTTTCCCAGAACTTAACTCTTAACTGTGACCACAGGTTTACTCGTGTTTTCTAGAGATTTTAAAAGGTAGAAACTGAGTCAGAGCTCTTGATTGTTAGGTTCCTCACTGGGGGAGCTTAAGTAGTAAGTAGTAGTAGTAAGTTGTTAGTAGTAGTTATTATTATTAGCAGTAGTAGATTTAGTGGTGATGGTGGTGTGGTAGTAGTCGTAGTAGTAGTAGTCGTAGTAGTGGTAGTGGTAGGAGTAGTAGTGGTGGTGGTATGAGTAGTGACGGTAGTGTGGTAGTAGTCATAATAGTAGTGTTAGTGGTGGTGTTGTGGTAGCAGTTTTAGTAGTAGTAGCAGTCCTGGTAGTAGTATTAGTGGTAGTGGTGGTGGTAGTAGTCATAGTAATAGTTGTAGTTGTAATAGTGGTAGTGGTCATAGTAGTAGTGGGGTAGAGGTAGTAGTAGTGGTAGTCATAGTAGTAGTGTTGTAGCCGTAATAGTGGTGGTGGTGGTAGTAGCGGTAGTGGCAGCAGCAGCAGTGGTAATAATGGTAGTGGTGGTGGTAATAGTGGTAGTGGTGGTGGTAATAGTGGTA